ACCTGAACATACCCACAGGCACAGTGTCTCCATAAAGGTAATTCCAGGTAGAATGTGCAAGGAGACATAAACATTCTGTCCAGCTGTGTAACTTCCCAAGTGGTTTCCAGTATTCGGAATTGGATGGACTAGCTCTTTATCCAAGCATGCTTTACTTGTTACACAGGGAGGCTGAAATCTGTAGCCTGAAGGCTTGGAAAACCTGCTCAGCTGAGGAATGTGGGCCTTCAGGCATGAAACCTGGTCTCTTTACCCAGTGTAAACAGGAAGCAAGTGATGGTTGTAATAAGGAAAACTGAGACTCTGGCAGTGAACTGCTGGCAGACAGCTCCTGGGGCAAACCCCCGGGCCCAGTCACTCAGCTGGTAAAGAATTGCTGTAAAGTCAAGAGGGACTTTCAAACCCCCAATCTGCCCCCAGCGGGCGGGCGCACACGCACACACGCGCGCGCGCGCACACACACACACACACACACACACACACACTGCCGTGCCCTACCTCACCAACACACAGGCCCTATGTAACTGGAGTTGTTAAAACTTGACCCTCTGTTTTTGAGACTGGAATAAAAGAAGGAGCCAGAGCTGGGTGCATAAAAGCATTTAGAGAAAAGTATGTGGCTGGTGGCATTCATATCAGATGACACCACACTCCTGTGACACAGATTGAGTTCAGGTGCTTGAAATGCTCAAGAGCCAGCTTGGGGACTTGGCCTTTTGTCTGCCTCTCCTTCAATATGCTGCTTGGTACTCTGTCTTTGTGACCCCCTCTTCCTTTCAGAGCGCTTGCAGAAATGACTAGAAAAGAAACGCATCTGACCCTAAAGAAAGGACAAGTTCATTGTGTATGAAATAGTGTCCATGTCTTCTTCCTAGTGGTTAGATTCTGAGGCCATAGAAGATTCTCATAAAATGAAACTTATGATGAGAACTAGGGAGGCATTCACTAATCCAATTTGACATTTATTGATCTATGAAAAGGTATCCTGACAACCTGGAGGGTGTTGGCTGTTTGAACACTGAGGTGAACTGCACTTTGGTCTTTAGGAAATCATACTTTGATGACCACGGTGATGATGGTGACGATGTCATCAATGATTTATTGACACGATTGATGGCAGCAGGCTTCCTTTATGACCTTTGCGCGATGACTCCAAATTCCAGGCTCATCTCATTCCCAACCCATACTGAAATACATGAACACATGCAAACACAAAATAGAGGTTATATGCAAACACTTTTTAAAGGTTAGTTTCATCTTTACAACTACCCTATGTATTTGATGCTATTAACATCCTTTTTTTTATGAAAAAGGAACTATAAAATTCAGAAAGGATGGATAACTTGCCCATTTAACACACCCTTTTGAAAATGAGGAACACAAATCCTTTCCTAATTATTAGAATTTTACTGTGCATAATAGCATTATTTTATAGAAGAGGGACTTTAGGACTTAAGTCAAAGACATGGGTCCAAGACCCTGTGCAGTTATGTACTGTTTGGCATTGCACAAACCTCTGAAACACTTGGGCCCCCAGTGTACCTGGGAGATCCCTGGAAATTGTCCCCATTGCCTAGCACCTTGTCCAACCAAAGTTTTCTACATATGTGGGTTTCGAATCTTGCTTTATATCCTAGCTTGTTTAGGCTATTAGCTTCACTTCATGAATATTGTTGTTGACTTCTGGAGCTATAATTACTGTTAACAACAGACATGAACTTGTCATCTGTATACTTCCTCATGCTCCAGGCTCATGTATCCAGCTGCCTGTTAGAAATCTCTGAGGATTATTGGTCAGACTTCAAACAACACATCTAGAGTGCATCCTTGACCCACATCTCACCACCTCCAATCTCTGCTCCCCCAGGCTTTGCTAACACAGTAATGACATTACACTCTACCCAAAACCTAGATGTCATCTTTGATTCCTCTGTTCTTTTCATCCCCTATATCCCCTATATTCACTTGTACTAGCTAGTTCTGTGACTCTACCTCTTAAAAAAATATCCTAATTCAAACAATTCTCATGTTCTCCACTGCTCTCCTGGTCCAAGCTACCATCTCTTAACCTACTACTCAAGTGACCTCCAAATTTGTCTTATCTTCCTGCTTGCATTCTTGACACTAACAGTAAATTCTCCACCCAGCAGCTAGGGTTATTAATAAAAAAATGCAACATTGAACTTCTCCTTAAAATCCCTTCAATCCAAAGTCCTTAATGTGAACAAGATTCTCCATGCCTAGTGCTCTGATATCTCTTTTGATCACTGTAATTAAGGTCCTTGAATAAACTTTTCCATGTTCCTTAAATGAATGAAGCTCATCACTACCTCACACCCTTTGCAGGTGCTGTTGTTTTCTTCCTAGAAAGCTTTCTCAGCAGGACTGCCTCTTTTTCATCTTTTGGGTCTAGTTCAAGTCTTACTTACTCAGAAAGATTTGCCCTGAATATGATCTGTAAAGTCACCCTCAATCTCATTCTTTTCTGTTCCTTTATCACACTTCATTTTCCCTCTAGAATCAAAATAACCATCAAATCACTTGTATTTCCTTTTACTTTGTGTCTCATACCATAAGAACATAAGCTCCATGAGAGTAGGGTTCTTGCTGATTACCTGTGTGTTTAGAATATATCTGGAGTATAGGGCAGGGCTTCATCAATATTTCTGCAATGATTTAGATGCTCATTCATTTGTGACACAGAAATTTAGTTTACAGTACTAATACTGATAGACAAAATTCATATACATGCACAAAATTAAAGTAGCTAAAACTAAAATGGCACTTGGTAAATTTATATGGCTGGTAAGCAAACTGAAGCATTACATATTATTTTTGACATTAAGAAACAAAATTTGGCCTGAGGAAAGTTAATCTTAATAGAGTTAAATACAATATTAAGTTAACAACTAAAATTGTACTCAGGAAAATAATAATATTAACAATAATATCCTGAGAAGAAAACCTAAAATGGCTAAATTGAAAGTGGGCAAAAATCAAATTTTTGTTATTTGCATAGAAAAGAATCTATCTAGTGGAAATTCAGAAAAAGTAATGGAAAAAGTTAAAGATTATTTAACTGTTTTGGCTAGAAATTTTCCAATCATTCCATTTGTCTCTGTAGTTTGTGTCAGAAAACACAATCTTAATGAAAATTCATTAATGCTTGTATACTTTTGATATAGGTTTATATAAAAAATATACAGACAAAAGAACTAAATAACAATGTCCTCTTGCCTTGCTTTTCCTTTAAATCTTTTTCTTTGATTAATTGTAAACTTCAACAATCTTGGAGAACTCATGTTTAGGATTTCTTTTAATCCAGCTTTTGAAAGCTTTTCATTTTTAAATAATTTTAGACTTAACAGAAAAATTACAAAAATAAAATTTCTGTGTATGTCTTTCAAACTCTTCCAACAACTTATGTAACTATAGTATAGTAACCCAAACATGGAAATTAAATATTGGTATAATAATATTTACTAAACAACAGATCTGATTCAAATGTCACCTTTTGTTTTTGTTTTTGTTTCATTTTGTTTTCCTAATGTCCTCTGCCTTTTCCAGGATCCAGCCTAGGATTCCACATTACAGTTAGTGGTTCTGTCTCTTTATTCTCCTCCAACTTGTGATGGTTTCTTAAATCTTCTTTGTTTTCATGACCTTACCGCTTTGATGAATACTGGTCAGCTATTTTGTATAATGTTGCTCAAAATGCCTGATGTCTTCTCATAATTAGGTTGAGGTCTGCTCTTTTGGCACAAATACTACAGAACCGATGCTGTGTCCTTTCATCACATGATACTGCTGACTCATGATGTCTGTATGTCTTACTATGAGGGGTGTTAACCTTAACCACCTGTTAAAGATGTATATGCTGAATTTCTCTTCTGTAAAGTTAGTGTTGTTTCCTTTATGGTTGATAGATATTTTGGGGGAGATGCTTGGAGGTTCCACTCATGTTTTCTGAAGTCATGGTTTCTAATGAGAATTTAATGTATCCTTTGGTATCCAGAGAACTCTTTGTTAATTTAAGAAAGTGCATATCACAATTTTTTAAGTGCTTTTTGGAGTCTATTATGCATATGGACTTGGTCAATAATCCATCTCTGTGTCTTAGCCTTTCATTTTCGTTGGCTTCATTCTCAGGTTCTCACTGTGTGTGGCAAAAATGACCACGATTCCCTCCAGGCTTGTATTTTATCAGTTTCACCACCACTTTGGCCATGTGTCTGTACCTGAGCCAATCTCTCTGACCGGAGGAATGGGTTCCTATAATTGCTTAGGTCTGAATCATGTGCTAAAGCAAGCTCCATGCAATCTATTTGGGTTGAATGAAAGAGGGTGGTTCTCCAAAGGAGAACTGAGGTACTCTTATTGGAAAAAGATCTCATATGGTGGGAAGGATGTTGGGTTGAAAAACCAGCAACTGTCAACTAAGCCCTCCCTAACTAACCCCATTTCACCTGTTGAAACCCTATTAATCCTTCAAGGATTGTCTCAAGAGTCTCCTTTCAAAGTAATTCCTGATCCTCTATCTCATACAATTTCTCCCTCTTTTCTGTTCCTTTTGCATCTGTGCTTCATTTTGCTGCTTATTTTCGTGAACTCTGTGCAGTCATTACAAGTTCATTTCTTAGATTATTAGAGTGTCACTTCTTTGAGGGCAGACCAGGTCCTACTTGCCTTCAAACACTTAGCGGCACCCAACAGGTGTCTGATTCATAATAAACTATCAGCAAATATTTATTAAACTGACTTCTTAATGTTGTACAAACTATGAATAATAAAAAATAAAGATGAGGCAGATAATTTTATTATGTACATAATTAACTGTTTGATTTATTAAAAGACTAACAGAAGCAATATTAACAATTCTGAGAAATGATTTCTGTTTAAGAATAACTATAGTCCTAGGAGACTGGTCAACTTTTGTGAGGATGGACTGGGCAGAGGTGTGTCTGACATGCACTAACTCTGTGCCTTCTTTTCCTCTTCAGTTGTCTGGGTTCACGTCTAAGCTTGTTCCAGCTATCCAGAGTGCCCACAAGAATTCCACTGAATCTGGAAGAGAAAAGGAGCTGATGGTGTTAACTGAACCCATTTTGATTGAGACCTACATGGGGCTGATGTCATTCATTGGAAACCGCAACAAGCTTGGTTATTCCCTTGCCCGTGGGAGTATTGGTTTTTGAGATGCTTTCTGGTGTATAAGTACATCACCCATACATATATTATTATTGAATATTCTTCTTCAGCCCACTATATTTTTGGACTGAAACAATTATTTTCAAATAGTGTCATATGATTTTTGAATATTTAGTATCTTAGGAAATCTGAAAGCTTGACACATACTTCAGGCCTCATATACAAAATAAACAAATTTCCTAAAATCTTTTTTAGGAGAAAATAAATTCTCCTAAACCCATCAAATAATGTTATCAAATGAATACCTAATCATAAACTCAGAGCTGACTCTCTGGATTCTTGTTCCTCTGTCCACTAAATGTTTGCATTTTCTGGGGCCTGACCTTCAGCCCTCTGATTCTGATCTCTTTCAGTGGGGTTATTTTAGCTACTCTTTTAATCAGGATGCCTTCCAAGTCCATATTCCCATTCCTGATATTTCTTCAGAATTCAGTATAATGTTTCTGTCTGCTGATCCGATCAATGTGCCAATATCTACTCATATTTAGTGTCTTCCAAATCCTGAATTTCTCTGTGGTATATTTTTTTATGGTTCCAGTTAATCATCTCTGAAGTTCCTTTAAATTCTTTCTCAAATACATTCTATATAGTATCAGTCTTAGTCTATGTGGGCTGCTGTAACAACATACCATTGATTGTGTGGCTTATAGGCAATAGAAACTTAGATTTCTCACAGTTCTGGAGGTCAGAGTGCCAGCATGGTCAGGGTCAGGGCTCCCTTCCGAGGTTCTGTCCTTTCTGCTATATCCTCACATGGTAAAGGGCCAAGGGCACTTTTGTGCTTTATTCACAACAACTTTAATCTCGTTCACGAGGGCTCTGCCCTCAACTTGATCATCTCCCAAAGGCCTTGCCTCTTAATACCATTACACTGGTTTTAAGATTCCAACATGTGAGTTTAGGAGGGACACAGACTTTCAGACCAGAGCAGTACCACCTTTGTACGTGGCTTAGCATTGTATCTCAATGCCCAAATGGCAAACTTAGAGTTGATTCTGCTTTCAAAATTGTTTACGTACTTCTCCTTCCCATTCTCACAAGTTTAATATTAGATCAAGTTTTAAATACTGTTCACCGGGATAATTGCCATAGCCTTTTAACTGGGATATCTGCTCCAAGGCTGACCCTCCTCTAAGCCATCCTGCACATGGTTGCCAGATTCCTAAAGCACAATTTGATTATATCACTCTCTGATCAAGAACTTGTAATACCTCATTTCCTTTTGCAGCACTTTTGTTCAAACTCTTTTTTTTTTCATAGCTAATGAAATCTGTTTGGGACACCCAACATATACAGCAGAGACATATCCAGCCACAAGGATGCCAGTGGAGATGCGAATGCCACTTGTGACCTTTATGAGTTTCAGTATTACCGCAGTGGAATATCTATGGTTCCCAGAGGGTTTTGAGGAGCATGTTCCAAAAAACACTGTCCTAACTCATTCTGTTTCCAAAGCTCTTTTCTCTCTTAATTCCTCTTTGTGTCTCCCTGACTTATGTCTAATTCTGAATAGCTCGAGGTGATCTCATATGTTCTCTTCTCTTCAAATTTATTTTTCAATTTTATTTTGTTTAATTTATTAGGTAAAGAAGCTTTGAATGTTGAACACCGTATACATTTTCATTATCAGCTTTCTGTCTGTCCCAAGACCCAAACTTGAGACACTTTGGTTGGTATTCAAGTTAAAAATTCCAGCTTTTTTTTTTTTTTTTGGCTCATGCAGGGTCTATTTTTAAAGTCTTTTCTTCATAAAGCTTACTTCCTCAATTTGAAAGATTTGTCCTCTGATTCATTCACAAACATCAATTTGATGCAGGCATTTAAAACTTAAACCTTGAATAGTCCTCATTTATTTTGTCTTTGTCTTTGTTTACTTCCATTAGTATTTTTCTCCCTCCCTGTCTTTCTCGTTCCCAGCACCCACTTTTTTCTGCCCATGATGGCAAATATTGTTACAGTCCCTAAGGCAGGGAACTTCTATTCAGACTGTAAAAGGAAATGTTGAAATCCTTAGCTGTCCTGTCAACAGTAGTGGAATGAAAAGTCGTTGGATTGTTTTGGCAGTGGTTCTGAGGCAGGCATAACTGGCAAATTATTATAACACTTCTGCCCAAAAATCCCCATTTGCCTCAAGATAGTGGCATTTGTTGGCAGAAGTCTCTGAATCGCCCAGTACATTTTTTTGAGTTACCATTGAAAGATCAGCCTGACAATTGACTTCTTTTCTGCACACATGTCCCCCTTGTAACCTAAGCTGGACTTTTGCAAATGACCTTCTGAAGGACATAGTGTAGCATCATCACTAGAACAACTCTGAATAGATCAGTTAGAAGACCGATGTCTCTTAACCCTGGGGTTCAGTCTGTAATGATAGGATGAGCATTTAATAACACCAGAGTTGTTTAGCATGCACAGGTGTGAACTCAGACAACATGAGAACTGCTTCACATTTCACAGACTGTCGGTAACCAAAAAAGGCATCCATAAACCACAAAACAGGGGACCTAGATGCACACCTGGGATTTTCCTTCAGACCCTCATCTGAACTATGCCAATGAAGTTTCCCAAAAGGACATCACAGGTTTGACTGGGAATAAGATGAGATACAAGATGTGTTAAGTATATCGTCGTAAAGATATCGTTGTTGGTCTTTATCTGATCCTTATCCCATTCAGAAAATCCCTCTAGAAAATCCCCAATGTGTCTCCTTTCAGAAATTGCTTGATTACATCTATTGACAGATTGGTTACAGTCTTCTGGTACATCTTGGACAGTTCTGATGGTTAGAAAGTTTTCCTATTAATTTAGACTCTAATGACCACCTGCCGTCTCCTTCATTAAAAAAAAATCCCAATGAGGGAACAGGTCCAGCTTGGATTTCCACACCAGCTGTGTGCCATATGGGTGTAGAGGCATAGTTGGGTTCTCTAATATCTTCCAGAGGGGAACTGCCACGATTCCAGGGTCACATGGCTCTGTGGGAAATAGGGGCTCTTTTAGAAGCCTGACCTTTGGCATTCCTCTGAGTTAGAAAAGAGTTGCCAGTTTATAAGTTTTAGGTCTTTTACCACGAGGTCTATTTTTGTTGTCCCTTAGCTGAGGCATTACTAAGGAAGTCAGTTCATAGAGCCCTGGGGCTAAGGAAACATAGAAATCATCTAACCCAATGCTTTCATTTCACAGCACAGGAAGCAAAACCCTAGAAAATGAAAAGAAATTGCTCATAAAGTAAACGGTAAATTTTTGGGCAGTACTGGAATTAAACTCTAAAGCTTCCAATTTCCCATTCCTGGACCTCTTCTCTTTCTGTATATCTCCATTCCTAGGGAAAAGCGTATCACTTAAATCAGTGTATCATAGGCATGGGGTTAATTCTGAGATGAGAAAACAATTGGTCACCGTTGTTTAGGGGGAATTTCCAGAAAGTACCTGTAGTTTCTTAAGGCTAAGGTCACTTATAGAGTTCTCTGATTTCCTATCTGATCAAAAAGCTCAAACAAAGCTGCGGAAGCCAGCAGAGCCAGCAGATATTTTGTAAGGCAGTTTTACCTCTGCTTGGCATTTTGTGGGGCAGGAGAAGGGAGGGCAACAGTATTAAATTTAGGCTTTAAAGTGCCTTAGAAATTCTTTACACACAAGAGACTGAGTTGGAGAAAAGAACATGACTCGTGCCAAGGGGAAGAAAGAGAGAGACTAATGCCTGTGGTTTTCAAAGGTTAACAACAACAACAAAAAAAAAGCCCAAGTATTTGCACAGGGATGAATGCTTGTTGGTTCTTCGCCAGCAATTCTACAAGGGCTTGTGCCCACATCCTGTAGCTGTGGTTTAGGGACGCTGCTCATGAGTGACTTCTTATGCTTAGTGGCAGGAAACTTTAGTCACTGATGTGTAAACTCACCTTTGGTCTGCACCTCCCACACCGTGCCCCATGCTCCCCAAGCGGTTAGCGGCCAGGCCTCCTGATCTCCTTGAAGATACCAGTTACCCAGAGACTGAAGACTAACTCCACTTGAGGCCTGGGGAGTGACCGAGCCCTAATTAATACTTACTTTATTCCACTTGATTCTAGCAGCCCCATCAGATAATTCTGTAGCCACAAGGACAGATTATGTTATCCTCTGCTAAACCCTTGTTTTAACCTCAAAACCAAATACAAAACAAAAGAACTCAAAAAACTCTGAGCTATATTTCATTTTAGGGCTGCAACCAATGTGAAATATGAGGCAAAGTCAGGAGGTTGTTCCTGAGCCTGGATCTTGTATGTGATAGGCTATTCCACACTCAGTTTTAAAAAGTTCTTAGTAAACATTTGTTAGGTCTTTTCAGTGAAGCCAAGTGGAATTTGTGAGAAACTGCACAAAAAGAAGATAGTGAATTTTTGGCAATACAGGGATTAAACTCTAAAGCTTCCAATTTCCATTCGTGGCCCACTGCCTTTTCCATACATCTACATTCCCAGGGAAAGATATATCATCTCCATCATAGTTGCTGGATTAATTTGAGGTGAGAAAACAATAGGTCCACTTAATTAACTCTTGTGCTTTTAGGTAGACCTGGGAGATCATAACAGCACATTATGGATGGAGAATATTTGGGGATCAATTTCTCTGTACCAGCACCTAGTCTCAAATCCTGTCCACAGTACCTATCCCATGCATCTCAGAAACTCCCTTTCCTTCCTTTTACATTCCCTGCTTACTCTTTGTGGAATCACTGAAACTGAGATTGGAGGGGACCTTATAAGTCATCTAGTTTAGCCTGCTACTTGCTGCAGAAATGTCCTCAGCCAAAATATATTGTAGGAGCAGACTCCTTTTCTACTAAGACCTTCCCAGGACAGAGAATCCCTTGCTTTTTACAGCAACTAATTTTACTGCTAAGCAGTTTCAGCAAGTAAAAGGTTTCTCTGAATATTGCACCCAATTCTTCCTCCCTGGAAATTTATCTATTTGGTCTTCCTTTGATCTTTCCTTGAAGTTACCCAAACTAAATCAATTTCCTATTTCATATGGTCACACTTCATATAAGGGCAGCTAACTGGTACACTTCCAAAAAAGTAGTTTGCTTTTAGTTTTTTGACACAAATGCCCCATTTATAACAACTGTTCTTCCGGGGCCATTATTGAACTTGTCTCTTGTTTGTGGATTATTCTATCTGGTTAACATTTCTTTTAAAATAACTGTATTCAACCCTGGCATGGCACTTCAAATATAGGCTGACTAGTACAGATTAGAATGTAGTGGTTCTTCATTTGTAAATATGTTATTAATGAAATCCAGTTTTTCTTTGTCATGCTATTGGTTCACATGAAATTTATGGTCATCTTCATTCTATATATAATATAGAATGCTTTTTTCTGATTTAGCAATTTCATGCTCATGTAAGGAACACATGAGACTACTTTAATATTTATAAATATAATAGTGGACCTTTACTAGCTCTTAGTAATTACTGCTTTTCTTTTTGGACTTTTAAATTTATTTGTTAAATTTTTGCTGAAGGTTCTGTTTAACACTTTATGTAAGTGTCAAATTTATTGTGAGTGTCAAATTTTCTATAGTATCTGGTGACTGACATTTTTAAGTGAGATGATTTTAAGTGAGATTTCTGTGTTTGGTATAGAGGACAAGGTGGGCATGGTTGCCATGATGGACAGCTAAACCAAAGCAGTAATCATAATGGCTTGATCAACAGAGATTTTTGGCATTAATTAGTTGATCATTTGTGTTCCTAAAGCAGAGTAGGTGGGAAAGTCTTATTTCATCTGTATAAGCAGAAGTGAGCTGAAGTCTGACTTGAAATAGTACCTGCCACCACAAGATGCCATTACCCTCATTGAATTCAGATTACCCAATTCAGTGGCAACAATTTCCATTGTCATTCTTGGCCTACAGACAATAGCCACAATGGAGCTGTTGAAGAAGGTTGGGATTCCCCTCACCAATTAATTCCTCATGGCTTTCCTGAAGGAAGTGTCTCTGGACCTTCTCACCAGGCACAGTTAGAGGGTAGTGAGAAGGTCTTCCGTAGCCCACTTGAGCAACCCAATCTCCTTGAGCATTTGGATGTCTCCCTCTAACATTTCAACTTCATTCAGTATGTATTTTCTTTGGGACCATGTTGTAGACCATGAACCACACATACTATTAGAACCATCCTTGTGACTCAAACAATGAATCCAGAACCTTAGCCTGGTGCGCTCTAATCAATAAATTTCGTCTGCTCCAACATTGTATTTCTTCCATCCTGATCTAATAATACCCATAGGATCAGTTCCCATATGTTTTCCAGTTTTCTTCTGGTATAAAATGGCAAAACTTCAGAATTATTTTGGGATGTATGACATCTTCTCATGAATCACACCTTTTAGCTTATGTATTAGAGGCTGAATTTAGTTATAAGTCCAGAAACATTACAGAATGAGAGTGAATTATTATACATTTAATCAGGTGCTGATTCCAACTACTGCTGTTGATATGAATTTTTTTTTTCATTGAGCAAAACAATACATTCCCTGGCACTTGGTATGCTGTTATTGATCTGGCAAGTGTTTTTATTTATTTGCTTGCTGATTTATTTATTTATATTATTAAAGATCATTGGGGGAAGGTTGCTTTCAGCTTTCAGGAAAAGCAGTATACTCAAGGCTATATCAACTTCCTAAACCTGTCATATTTCAGTCAACAGGGAACTTGATTGCCTCTCTGTCATGTAAGACATCACACTGGACTGTTTCTCTGATGATATCATGTTGATTTAACCAGGTGAACAGGAAGTAGCAGCTATTCTAAAACTTGTGTGACACGTGTAAGGAAATAGAGCCTCCCCACACCAGGTTCTGATGCTTTGGTCACCAGAAGTCACACTACTGACTTTTCTAGGGGATCAGTGGTCTGGGACATATGAAGATAACCTCCTAAGGCAAATGACAAATTTCTGCCCCACTGTTACTAAGAAAGAGCCACCATACCGAATGGGGTTCTTTGGATTTTGAAGGCAACATATGCTTCATTTGAATCTGCTATTTGAACCCATTCGCCAAGTAATCCAAAAGGTTGCTAGTTTTGAGTGGGGCACAGAACAGGACAAGGATCTGACTAGGTCCAGTCTTCTGTGCAAACTGTTTTGTCCCTTGGGGTTTTATCACTTGGACTCTATATCCAGCAGTCCCATGGTGCCTGAAGTAGCTGTGGCATA